AAGCATAATACTATAATCCTATGTTTAAAATGTATTTTCTTGTGGCCGCCTGACAGCAACCTGTAAATCTGGCGCGACACAATAAGTATTAATAAGTAAATGTTGTTCAAATTATATCGTGTTTGATCTCATTTTCATCAGAAAAATCTCACCAATATGTTAAAAAAAATTTCAGATAAAAAACAGTAAAATTAAAGAAATTATATTTTTCTATTATGACTTGTCGAGCTGTGAAATCTCGTAAAGGAAACCGATTGGTGTAGCACTACACGCTTGACTGACAGGAAACGAGATAACATAGGCGCAGCAATGACGCAGCCTAGGCGTAGGACAATCTATACCGACACTTGTAGAATCCAAACTGACTGACACTTGTAGAGAATTTACTGTATTGCTTATTGTACACATACGAAATTTTATAAGGCAACTTGAAATATTAACAAAGTTATAGAGGTTTGAAGCAAGACGGACATGCTACAAAATTGTTATAAAGACGTACATACATAGAAGTTTAGTTCTTTTAGTTTTCTTGCAATTTACAAATAATATTCTATATTAATAACCTAAAATAGGAATGAAAATTCAAATTTTTGAATCTGTATACTTTCTGCTAAAAAATAGTTATTGTAACACACGTCCACCTTGAAGTCGTGCAACTTTTGCTTCATACACTATTTCGTGCAACGAATAGTTTAAGAGCAATTTCAGATCGTCAAATTAGGTGAACCACCCTGTGTATCTCTAATACGAAAAATAATCCATAAAAATTGTTGCAAATCTTGCAATTTATATTTTTAACGAAGGATTTACTCCAATCTGAAATATATTCGAAAAAACAACGATACTCATCAATAATCGCTACTACGAGCAAATTGATCGTTCTGAAAAATGAAACGATAAGCTTCAATAATTATAATTATAGATAAAGAAAGTGTACAAAAAACATCGAATGGGTTTTTCTTAAAACTGTTTTCGCAATTGATTATCACGATATCTCAAAAATTGATATTATTTGGCACACATTTTGTAAATATCTTTTTATCGGTCCAATCAAAATTATAACACGATGTGTTATCTGTCAACAAAGATTACTTATAATCTTTATCACACAACGATAAAGACTATGAAGATGATAAAGATTATGAATAATGAACCCATTAATATTATAATGTACACTGTTTTTAATATTCCTTATTCTTCAATATAAATTTGTAAATATACTTCCAAGACATATAAATATCTGTGTACAATTATAACAGAAAACAAATTGTAGTTCCTTGAAATGGAATTAAAATTTTTGGTATCAACTCGAACGAATGCCGCCTTAAATAATGATTATAAAAAAAAATTTCAATATAACACACTTCCTTGTAACAGAATAAACATTTATAAGGCACACACATTTATTTGAAAAACTATTGTTTTTACAAAAAGCTTTATATTTCTGTAATTAGCGTTACATCATCTTAAAATTGAGTAATTGAAAATCAATTTTTAAATATAATCAATAAACACAGATTTATATTAAATGTGTTTAGATTGTTCGTAAAACTTTTAACAACGCTTTAATTGCCGCTGTGTATTGGTCATAAAAAAGTTTTCTATTTACATAAACAAAATTTATCTCGTAGATTATAGAAATGAAATTTTATAAAGAATTGCTTGTTGTAGAAAATATCTGTTCATACCTTGTATATTTAACGATACATATCTCTTACATAATTGTTATAACCACTGTTAACTGGTGGTAGTTTTGAAATGTAAATATAGTATAAAAAAAAAATAAAATAACTTCAATTAGATATAGCTATTAAATATTGTTACGTATATGCATAACCTTTGAGAATTATTTACCAAAGTGCTACGCGTACTTCGCATGCCGAATTAACTTTGTCTGAGAAATTAATTGAGATATTTGCAGTTAAGAAAAACTATTTACTTAATTTTAGGAATGCTTGTCATGTTCAGCGTTTCTGCTTGATCTGTCTAGTTAATGTACAAAAGTGCTGGAGAAAGATATCAACTAAAATTGGCCTTCGTCTAGTGAAAAGAACGAAACATAGTGTTTCTGATGTTGAAAGATGCATAATGATTATGTTTAGACAGAAATTTTTATAGCTTATTCTACGCGTCAGCTTTGCTTAATGCGAAGCAGAGAACGAAACATTACTGTAATCTAACCAAACATAACGAATGTACAACACACAATAGCTGACCTATCGGACTGTTTGTCAGATTTTAACAGAGTCACGTTGTTCGCTGACCCGACACAAAAATTTCGCGATGATAAATAGATTAGCAGAGCGGTGTCTCTATGGCAAACAAAAGCAAATTACCAGTGCAGAATAATTTATTTGCAACTGATATAACCATTGTTACAACTGCAACAGGATATAAGATAGAATTAAAATGTTAATGCGAGATTTTTAAATTACAGGCCTGTGTTGCTACATACAAAACCACGTTTCTATATCGAAGATGTAACTGTAAGGACAGGTCTAATCGGTGATATTGGTATCATAACGTACGTCGTTCAACCAGCCGGCTTACAGGAACGTGAAATTCCTATGTGTAGGGTGAGCCTACTTGATGCAGAGGATAAATTAGCCATAAGGGAACCTGTTTACAGATTTTCTGATACATTGAAAGTACCATATCCTAATCTCTGGTGGCCTAGAGGCATGAATTCTAATCCTGGATATCTCTACACCTTAGAGGTATGCTATCCTTCTTTTTGGGTTCTTTTTTTTGTTCGACTTCATTGAACTACTTAAAGGTCGGTGATAAATTTCTCGGTTCACCGTCTAGGCTAAAATTCTTCAATGGAAATTTCTGAAACAACTTTCTCACAATGCGTATAAATAAAATATTAGTCTCGAAAACATAGGACAAATTTTCAGCTGGATCCGTTGCAGGTTTATACACAGTGCAATGCCAAAAATGCAATATGTCATAGAACACGTTTATTAAATAAATTACCGGAAACAGATACATTTTTCGAAAATATTGCACCATCTTTTCATTTCATTTGACCTCTATCATAAACATTTCAGAAAGTGTTATTATACAAAGCTAATTAGTAATAACGTTACGATTTCAAGGTCTCATTGTCTGTAGTAAACGATAGCAAAGTAGACGTCTATAGGCTTCCAATTGGCATTAGAACATTGTCCTGGTCAAATAGCAGTTTGTTACTTAATGATAAGCCTGTGTACATGCGAGGATTCGGCAGGCATGAGGATTCGATCCTAAGAGGACGTGGACTAGATTTGGTCACCGTTGCCAGGGACCATGAATTGCTACAGTGGATCGGCGCGAATGCTTACAGAACTAGCCATTATCCTTACAGCGATGAAGTACTCGATGTGGCTGACCGGTAAACATTACTTTCATTACCATTTTTGAGTCACAAATTTAACAACTTACACCTCACTCGTAACACCCTGCTAAATCATCCCACAAATTACGTTATTTTTTAACGTAAGATTTTACTTAAAAATAACAGTATTTCCGCTACATTTAGGTATTGTTAAATTAAGGATTGTTCTTAATACTGCTCCACCTGCCCTCCCTCCCTCACTCTCTTTCATATGATTCTTTGATTTCTTTGTTTCATTTTTTTCTTTTAACCGAAAAACTGACCTAAATGAAATAAATGATAATTTGTTAATATCAAGTTTAAAGAACTTTTATACTTCTTCATTCTGGTAACATTGTTTAATTAGCACGTGAACCAGTGACTGCTATAACAAAATAGAATTTCTTCACAATTTACCAATATACTTATTATTAGTACTGCGATGGCGCAGAGCGTTTTCGCTATTTCGTGCATACAGAGTGTTTAAAACACAATTCAGAACATACAAAGTAGATAATATTTACTAAGCTAAGTAAGAACATTTTGCAAGTGTATCCACTATTTTGTAGAAAAAAATAGACGACGTGCTCCACCACCTCTCTGAGAAGAAAGGGCTATGATAGAGAGATCTTTAATTCCTGGATATTAGAATCCATTTTAATCCCAAAACGTGATATCAAAATTTGTTTCTATCTCAATTAGTTTAAAAAGAGAATATTATGACGCTGTGATCCATCCAGTACATTACTCAATTATTATATCACGTAATAATGTTTAAAACAACAAAACTTCATTTGAAAGGAAATAAACAAACTAAAATAAATACCTTTTATTTTATTTATTTTTCAAAGGTTAGGCTTTCTCATTATTGACGAATGTCCATCGGTAGACACCGAGAATTTCTCTCCGATCCTTCTCTCCCGTCACAAGGAGTCCCTGTCAGAACTAATAAGACGAGATAAAAATCGGCCATCGGTAATTATGTGGTCCATCGCTAATGAACCCAGAACGCAACTTCAAGCAGCTGGTGAATACTTTAAACAAGTTGCTCATCACACAAAAGCACTCGATCCTACCAGGCCAATTACTATTGCCATGGCTCGAGCAGTTCAGGTTACACTTGCAGAATTTTATATCGTTATAATACAGGATGTTCCACAAACATATTATATTTTTCATTTTATTAAGTATTTATTTCTCCTCTTTTTAAACAATCTTTGAATAATCATACGATCTGTGCTGTTGAACGTAATCGAATTCATCCTAGTGAAAGATACAATGTATATGTACAGGATGCTCCATCAACCCTACCCACCTTTAATATCTCGATTACTTTAAGTAATAAGCGAAAACTTACTTATAAAAGTCTTCACAGGTGGAGGCGTAGAGAAGATCTGGAGTTCAATTTTGTTTTTCTTTCAATGGAATGTCCAATTTTTTATAGTCAAATTCAATAGAAAAAATTTTGCTAAAAGTAAAAAAAAAAGGACAAATTTTACAAAAATTTTGCTGGTATCAGCAACTATGTCTACGATTAGTTAAAATAATGTAGAAGTTTAATCATATGTGGAACATCCTTTTTAATAGACAGAAATGCATGTGAAAAGGAACTATCAATGAAAATTGTATATTTCATTTGTAGGAAGATAAAGCTGGTGAATACCTTGATGTGATTAGCTTTAATCGTTATAACGCTTGGTACATTAACCCAGGTCGAATCGATACAATAACGAACAGAGTTATAGCAGAAGCTGAAGCATGGTATAGGAAATATAATAAGCCTGTGCTTATGTCCGAGTACGGAGCTGATACTATGCCCGGATTACACGAGGTAAATTAGCCATATTCTAAGCGAGTTAAGAGCAATTACGTTTTCTAATCGTTTATACTTTGAAATCTTTCACGTTGAAAATTATACAAATTATATGTTAAACGATGCTATAACAGCAAAATGTATAATATATCAATGTCAGATTAAGAAATATTAAAGGCAATTGTTAGCAAACATGTGTTCATATACAATATTAGCTTCAGATATAAATTAACTTTATTTACAACCTTCTCTTATTTTATTTAAAGCAACTGTGAAATGTAAGTGCATTTTGTAGTTTTGTTAATAAAGTTGTACTATTCTGTTTTTAAAATATGTTTCTTTGTACTAAGAATTCATAATATTACAAAAATTTTCAGTTCTTAATATTTACATATTGTAAAAAAATCAACATACCATACACATATAAGAAATTCAAATTAATTCAGTCTTTAATTCTATGTTTCTTTATTGTGTGTAGTAGTAAACAGTAAATGTTACATTTTTTAAATTTTATGACAAGAAAGTATTGTATACTGGAATTTAGATCCACTTAAAAATATTGTTACAACATTTTAGCTACCTGAATATGTATGGAGTGAAGAATATCAAAAAGAAGTACTATCCAAACATTTTGAAGCATTTGACAGATTAAGAAACGAGGGATTTTTTATTGGTGAATTTATTTGGAATTTTGCCGATTTCCGTACTGCTCAAAGTAAGTCAAAAATTTGATAAATGTCAATTATTGAAAAAAAAAAAAAAAAAAAACAGCGATAATAATTACGTTATATATGTTTATAGCGTACATCAGAGTCGGTGGCAATAAAAAGGGTGTATTTACAAGAGATAGACAGCCAAAAATGGCGGCTTATCATGTTAGAAAGAGGTATCATTCCCTTCAAAAGGAACTGGATGGAATGGAAGTACCGACAGATCTCGAAGACTACGTTTCACTCCATTATTCTCTCCGTTCAAGATTTTAATATCATTTAATACATTGCCATTTTTGTTAACAAATTTCGAAAGAGAATTGTTTATTATTCGTCTATATATAAACATTATACAAAAATTATTTACTTATTTCCCCTCTTTTTACTTCCACAAACAGCAAAGATATTATCGCTTCTTATAAGCGTGTATATCAATTACTGTCAACATACTTTTAGGTACTGTTATATTTAATAATTGCAATGGAAACATCAAAGTTTTAATAAATGTTTTATAAAAATAGAAAACTGACACACTTAGTTTTATTTGATTTCTTCCCCTAACAGTTTTAAAATTACCTCACTTGACTGTATTAAATCAAAAAGAAAAAAAACTCTAAAAGAAAGATACCATGGTTTGTACACATAAATAAAATATCAAAACTTTTGTTTCTTTTATAAATTATATATATATGTAGTAAACTTAATAATACACAGCATATGATATATAAGTTCCCTTTACATTAGCATAATGCATCATTAACTTCAGGTTCTATAATTTTCAAGCAAATGTCTGCTACTTCCACAAATATTGGCTCAGTCATAGCTAAAGCAATAGCTTGTGTTGGATTATTATCAGTCAAAATTGCACTCATGATGTTTTGTACATGTGGATTTTTTAAACAATTTTTTAATTCTTCATTATGACGTAATTGTTCCAATTTTTCAGTAGAAACTGTATCTTCTGTTGGAAATTCATATCTGACGTTACCTTTCTTATTTTCCGGAACTTCGTTCTGTTGAAGCTGTGGTGGTTGACAACTTGCTTTGTGTTCCTTACAGCAACCTACAGAACAACTAATGCACATAATTATTATAATGCAAAATAAATTTATCTTTCTGAAAAACATAACAAGGTCTTATACTGTATTAATTACATAATATATATTATCTGCTGGAAAAATTTTGTGCAGTTTTTCTGTCAGAGATAAATTCAAATGGAATTTTTTGTAGTATTTCATAAAAAGAATATAACAGTGGTGTCATTAAAAGGTTTTGTCCTTTTCATTGGTATACATTATTTGTATTTTTCATTTGTTTAGATTTTCCATTTTCTATACAAGGTAAAAGGTGGCGAATAAAGTATATATATGTAAACATTTCCTTAAATTGGAGTTTCTGAGTTTTGGAGAAGTACTATCTGAATTATTATACTTGATTCCTTATACAACTACTCGCCATCTTTAACACTTCACAAGTAGCATGTAAAATATATCTAAAAATAACATTTTAACAAAAGTCTCAAATAGTGCATGAAACATTCACAATACACCTCATTTGTGGATAAAACTTGTTGAAGTTCAAACTTTGCTAACATCAAACTAGAGTTAATCAAAATGACTTCTAAAATATATCAATTGTTATTCAGAAGCCGTATACAGATATGCCATCTCCTAGTAATAAATAAACTTATAGAAGTGTTATTTGATTTTTGAAAAATTGAACACTCATGTACTTAGGTAATGAAATTAAAAAAGTCTACACAAAATGGAATTATCAATTCCATTTCTGAAAGGCTCAAATGTTGTTAGGTAGCATCTATATAAAACTCTTATTTAAAATTAAATCTTATAAATTATGCTTAATGCTTATAGTTAATTACTCCATGCCTGAGGCTTACATATTAGTACACAAGTTTATTAACCACAAAAATACTTATTTTTACATTATTAAACATACTTTCATTTGTTTCAATATTGTAATTATGCTACATCACTTGCGAATATATCATGTACAAATATTTTCATGAATGAAAATTTGTAACCTTGAATTAAAAGAACATAATTCTCACTACATAACTTACTAAATACTAAGCATAAAAATAATTATGTTTTATAAAATCAACTTAAAACTAGTCATTATTTCTTAAAAATCATACTAAATATAAGAAAATATTATTATCATTGGTTTGCTTAAGTACATACAATAATCTTTTGTTTCGAAGTTTTTAAAAGAAGTAGAAAATACTATAGGAATTATGATTTCAGTAACAATATTACAAAATGTATATCCATATTTAAAAAAATCATGTATTACAACTTATAGACAATGTACCTACTATAAACATAACCTCTAACATACTTACTAAGTTTCTTTGCACGCGGGACATTTATATGAACTTTCTGCTTTTCCACACATACAACAAATTTGTGTCATGATAGTTAAATATTGTTAACAACAATTTCTCACAATATTAATTTATAACTGTTCCTTTTCATAAAGAGCTTGCGATTATTTCTGTTTAGTCACATGATAATGGTATAGTGCAACGTTGTCAAGAAATGTACTATTTTAATAAAAAAAATTACAAAAGTAATTACATAACAATGGTGAGCATTAGTATTATACATTTGAATTTAATCTTTTAAACGTACCATTAATCAATTTTGCATTATGTCTTATATAGGGTAGTTACAAATGTACCGTTTCAAATAATTAGGAAATAGCAGAAAACACGATAAGCAAAATATTATATACCACAAAAAACACAAAGACGAATCACTATGCACAACGCATGTGCACGTACTAAAAAGAATGTTTACTCCAATAATCAATTTATCATTTTATAACATATTACATAGTGCTAAATTGTTAATGTTGCAGGTGGAAGTTTAACGCGTGTATCAGTGATTTATCTCTTTATATTTTCTGATGTTGTAGATGCTATTTGATAAACAGCATTGTCATCAATTTAGAAACAGTGCTTAGCTGCCTCCTTTCTATTACTACTCATACTGCCATGAAAATTTCGAATATATCATGTAAACAAATTAAAGCAACTAAAAGACAATTTTTTCTTTTGTGTTATTATATTGTATTGAAAGATTCATTAATCACACACGCGTAATTCACCTAACGTCAAGTATCCATACGCATTTAATCTAATTCCAAATTTTTATTGAATACAAAATTTCACATAAAGATGAAGAACTGTTTCACTTTGTTTCAAATCTCTACTTTCTGTTAGTTCAAGTTACATTCAATTTGAAACTTTATATATGGTTTCTTGTAAGAAAATATATTAGAAAGTTATTTATTTATTGCAGGTGTTTTATTTATAAAAAGTTGGGCTACAATAAAAAATAAAATGTATTTCGAAGTAGTTTGAAAATCTTCATCTCAAAGTGCAAATATCAAAGAGAATATTATAAGATTCCATTATCAGTTCGCAAAGTATTATCATCTTTCCGTCATATTACACATATGCTATTATTTTTTGGCCTATTAGAATTAAAATTTTGCCCTAATTTCAACTTTCGTATGGTTGAATAGTACACATCTACTATTTGACATCCTCATTTCAAATAAAAAGTCTCAGTTGCGAGTGTGATATTTTCGATTCCGCTCCATAACGCAACAAATGCGAATGAAAGTTTCTTCCTCGCAAACAATCGCATGTCCTGACATTACTCGTGCCAAGGTCATTGATTCCTCTAATAGTTCCGGCTTAGTTTCTGGGCCAAGTTAACCATCCTAGCAGTGCTACCAACGTCGACTAGAATACCATCACCAACCGTGACGTTGACATATCTTGATACGAATGCTCCGGTAAACGGACAACCAAACGCAATCGGATACAGGTATCGAACCCGTACCCAATTAAGTTCGTTTAAAAAATGTTCTCTTGTAGTGCTATTTTTTTTTTTTTTTTGAAGAAAAGTTTAATAATCGATTCTCAGGGTGATTCTGATTGCAAAATATTACACATTTTCCTTGCAAATCAGTAGTATTGTTAACGCAAGTTGTTTACTATCGCCGATTTAACATGTTTCGACCATTTAATGAATTTTTATCTCCAGGACTGTTACTTCCATGAAATAAAATATTTATATTTCCTACACACAGTATTGCCGCATTAGCTAGCCACGGCTCGGGACCACATTTGGCCAGTAATCAAGGAAGCAGAGTTTTAGGAAATCCCGGGTATGTTACTTCTCCTTTGAGCACAAGTGAGATACGGTTACCTGATACGAAATAAGGAGGTCCTTGTTTAGTTTAAATACGTAACACCGAAGACTCACTCCACGAAGCCGATTCCAAGAACTGCTGGGGATAGTGACGGTCAGCTAGCAAGGCGAAATAGATAATATCTGGACTGCAAAATTTTTGATCTGAATGTGTCTTTTCACGGGTATTTTAGGTCGCTAAAGTCGAAAATGAGGGTCATTTTTCATGGAAATGAAAATTCGGCCTTATAGACATTTAGCCGTCGTATCCGGTAGCATTGTTACAAAAAGTCTGCAACCCAACTCGGATATGCTAATCGAACCATTAAGAATACAAAAATTCTCGCTAGCTTTAGTTTCATATGGTGGCAAGTACCTGCCCGGGGATTTATCTAACCCACACCTATACCCATACTCTTCTTTATAAAGAGCTGGTCACTTTTTTGTCGCTCATTACGCGTTTTTGGGCTTAATATATACGCCCAACATAATTAACCTAAATCTACAAAACGTATGTTTTAAATTCTCATTACAAGGCTCGGATAAAAAAAGTTGTTAAATGTGACCTTTACAATTTTCTTCGCGACTTCCACAAATTGCAATTTTTTCAAATATTTTTTGCACACGTCGTCTAGTAAACTAATCCTTCTGACTTCTCAAAAAAAAAAAAAAAAAAAAAAAAAAACTCAAGTCGCCTGATCCAATTTTAAAGAAGTTATACTGTTCTAAAGAGTGCCCGAATATTAATAAGAGTCACTGTATCTACATATTTCATAGTGTTTCACCATGCAACTGTGCTCATTATCAGAAGATCCAGTCCTTCTAAGTACGTTTTTTAAATTGATACCGAACAGCTGAGCTTTGTAAGTCACGTCGCTCTCTCATCGATCTGTGTTTAAAAAGCGTATTTCAATGTATACAAATACATCTCGGTACGAGTTTATGGGACGATCTACTACACACGGTGTTCCAATATAAACCGAACACCTAAATATCTCCTTCGTTTTTTAACGATACGTATTAGGATATATGCGATGTGTAGGAGGAATATGACATTGGACACGACAAAGGTGTTCAACTTCCAAGACAGTGTTAACGACATATGAACTTACTGTTTATACTATAAATGTTTAAGGTGATGTCTATCACCTTTCTAAAACAAGCAATCCGGATTATGATGCTCTTTCAACTATTTCTAGCAACACGTGCTCCAATTATTCGATTCATAAACGTGGAATGTATTGAATTACCGTTTTGAAATTTTCTGCACTTCGAATTTGAAAGTTACATCTTGGTCATAACTTGCATAGACATGCTTGAATGTATTTTAACATTCGCTACAAAATAGATGCCTTTTTGCAAAAAATATCGGTAACCTTGATAAAATTCGAGAAAATTATCCTTTCACGGTATTTTATCCTTCGAAATCATTGAAATTGCGTTCTAAACATTTCTCAGACCATTGAAAACAAAGAATATATTTAGCTGTTCAGCTTTTGCTGCAACACCCTGTATAAAAGTACAGATTATTAGTAAGCAGTAATAGCTTGGTTACTTTTTTAAGTACATTACTTTCAAGAATGTATTGCTAGTATTCTTAAGAATCAAGCACAGTGTATGACATTTAATGACGCCAAGAATATTTTACTCATTATCTTTAGTTTTTCGTTAAAACTGAGAGTTTCAAGTATTATAGTAACTCATTGATGTCGATCAGCTTCGAGATATTACATTGCCACTTTCATGAATGCGCGAAGTTAACTAAATAACTTTATTTACTCAGATGTCTTTACGAAAATCAATTTTACTGTATAATAGGTTCTACTATTATTAATTTTGGAAATCTTAAAAACTATGAAATTTTCTTATTTTTGAAAATTTCTCAAATTTTCAGAGTTCTATCCGCTACTTTCGTTTTTCACAATCCTTCTACGATCACTGAGATGCATAGAAATGAAATAGAAACTTTGTAATAATAATAGTTAACAAACAATTGATGCGCTATACTCAAAGGGACATGGGATATAAAATAAGAATAGCCCCAAATTACAGATGAATTTTTTAAAGACTTTTTGCCATAAAAGAATCACGCTGAGACCACTTCATATTTTTCTCTCGTGATTATAAACAAATCACAATTAATCCTTTTTAATGTGTTGCAGTGACACATTAAACAGAAAAGTAACCTGGTTGTTTAGCAAGTTAAATCAAGCTAAAATACTATATTTTTATAATGAACTGTATATGATTGGAAAATCGTGTGTACCGTTACCGTGAACATACTTCACATGGGAATCATATCTCTTTGAATCATATCTTGTCTGTGGGAAAAGCACCACTTACAACGATGTAGACGTTGAAAATGTTATTAACTCAAACATCTACAATAAAGTTGCAACATCGATCTCGTTTTATATTTTAATACGACAAGAAAACAGCTTAATATTAAATAATCACATATGAAAAGTTATATCCGCACAATAAATTTGTATACTTTTGTATTTTATAAAAGCTCTACAGAAGCGCACAGTAGTTGTAACAAACGTAAAGAAAAGAATTTGTTCCAATAGAAAATTGCAAACACATTAAACGTAACACTTTGCCCTCCTCCTTACGAATAACATTTGTAATATTAAACATTGCCGCTCAATGTACAGTACAAACAAATACGGTGTTACCAAAAATATCTATAATTACTGCAGAATTCGGAAACTTAATTAAGCACACTCTAACCGAATTGATATTGCATTTTGAAAAGAGTATACGATATACAAATATTGTGAAAATATGTTTAGCTGATCGATCTTTATATGACTTGTCCTTTCCTAATATACACGTTACATTTACCGTTAAAATTCTGCGATAACATAAAACAGTTTATTAACGGCATATTATAACGCATTTAAAAACGATGATTTTGTAATGTGATTCTGCATATACACGAGCAACGATTAGAATCTCTCTCGATGATATTACCAGGTTAGTGAGAATACCGCGTTGCTGACGCTGTTCAAGTTGTCCGAATGACGTCAGATGCGGGACGAAGTCAGATGACGAGCCACGACGATGATCGCGTATGATGACGTTGGCAGGGCAAGGCAAGGCAAAGCAACAGCGAACTCAAGAGGAGGAAGGAATAGCAGGAATCTTGTTTCGTTGGCTCCTGGTTGGCCAGTTCTTTCCAGCGCTTCGTAACGTCAACTTCGCGGCAAGCCTGCCAATCGTGTCAGAGATAGAGGCACCGTATCCGCACGCGACTTCCTCTTCGTAAATGGTCCAGAGGGAATGACAGTGACCCACTTGCCGC